CACTCTACCCGTGGCCACTGGTCGGCTTCTAAAGGGCCGTAAACAAGTGTGCTGCACCGATCTGAAGAAGGGAAAGCAGGGCAGTGGATGTCATTTCCCTGGCTCCTTTCTTGAAGGGCGCCTCAGACAGCTGGGTTCCTCCAGCAAAGACCCACTTCCTGCGGGGGCTGCGGGCGGGGCTCTCCACCCAGATGTTTCTGGTCATCGCTTGTTACTCGAGCTTCCCACACTCCATGCCTGGGATGGCACCACCTGCTGGCCCAGCCTCTGGTGCTCCATTCTCTCTTGGGGTTCCTTTGACCTCCCCACCTCAGTAAAGTCCCTTAACTCTCCTCCAATTGTCCTAATTTCTATGTGTCATCTACTAGGGTCCCTAGTTGGTTTGCCCTGGTGAAGTGCTTATGTTAGTAATGTTCTAGATTCTACTTCTTAGCCTTACATTGGGTGACGTTATACCACACATCTTTTTTTTTTTTGTTTGCCAGTGCCTACTGCAGTGCTATAGGAAATGTGGCATGACTATATGTACATATGATGCATGACAGAGCTAAGCGATACTTGAGAGACAATTGGCCCATTGAGAATGGGCCTGCAATGCAGGCAGAGGCCATGAAGTTCAAGTTTCCGAATGCATTCCCATGCACAGCCCTCTCTGGGGGATGCAGCCAGTCATTGCAAATTCCACTCTCCGCCTGCCCCTGAGGTGACCCACATGGCGCGGCAGACCTCTCCTGACCCGCCTGCTGCTCCTCTCAGCAGTGTACTTGGTCCATCTGCCTGTTTCGTGGGGACACTCTGCCTCTGGTGAACCCTCTCACCTCCCCTGCACCTCTGGCCTGTTCCCCAATTACAAATAAATAAATCTTCCAAAAAAAAAAAAAAACCTCTCTACTGTTAAAAACTTCCCCTTCACCCTAGTGTGAGTTGGAAAACTTTCAGCCATAACTATATTTAGTTGTTAAGAAGGGGGGTGGGGAAGAGGTGGGTCAGAGGCTAAAAGGGGAAAAAAAAAAAAAAAAAACAATGTATGTACACTTCAGTAATTGAGATGGGCTTTCTCCTAACACACTTGTCTGGGAAAGCCTCAGCCAGCAGTCACATGACAAACAAATCCAAACAGAAGGCGTCCCCTTCCATCGGTGGACTCCGGCTGCTTTCATTCATCTCCATCCAAGAATCAGGTCAAGTCATGGCTTTGTCACCCTGTGGGAGCTTGAAGTGGCTTCAAGGCCACTGATAGGGACACAGCCCACAATAATCACTGCAAGTCATATTAGTTTTGATGTTTCCTTCATCAGGATTACATATATTTACTCTGAAAAGGGAACTTAAGAGACAGGAGGGAGGGGAAGCCGGAGGGAAGAGTGATTGGCCCAGCTAAAAACAGGAACACTTGTGAAGGAGAAAGTCTCCCTGCTGTGGGTGGCTCCCTGGGTTCCCAGCACCCCCAAGCAGCTGCTCAGAGTGGAAAACCCCTGGCACAATACATTGTAACCCGATGTTCTGCTCACACCTTCTAAAAGAGCCAAAAAAAGACAGAGAAATATGTAGGCTCAGAAAATAAGAAGCCCGGAGGAAAGGATGTAGAGAATGGTTAAAAATAAAACTTATCAGATGAGAATTTAGTCCTGAGAATGTTATCTCTCCCCACAGGAGGGTGGAAAAAAAAATAGGCCTGTCAAGGAGAACACAAGCCACAGGATGAATAAGCATAAAAATAGGAGGAAATGACCAAGCAAACAAGCCTAGCTTTGGGGAGGAGGCCTAGCTTTCCAGGATGGGCCAGATAACCATCCAAGGATGCAAGACAGACTCAGACCAACGGGCTTTTTTGGATGGGGAGAACATTTTCCCCCTCTTGCCTTTTTTCAAATTGTTTGCTATTTTTCCCATATGCATTCAATACCTTTTTTGGAAAAATAAAGGCCTGTGGAAAAGGTTCTGGGGGATTTCCTACTTTAGAACATTTTTAAAAAGGGTAACCTGGGCCCTCCCTGCTTTAACCCAGCGGGTTAAAGCACAGCACTAAGAAGCTTAAGCCACTTCCACATGAGTTCAATTCCCGCCTGCCCCTGAGGAGATCCACATGGCGTGGCAGACCTCTCCTGACCAGCCTGCTGCTCCCCTCAGCAGTGTACTTCCTCCATCTGCCTGTTCTGTTCCCCATTCTGTCCCTGGTGAAACCTCTCACCCTCCGCATCTCTGGCCTGTACCCAGTTCTGTATGAATAAATCTTAAAAAAAAAAAGGTAACCTGGTCCCCAGTGATTTTTTTCCCCCCAAAATCCAGAGTGTTAGCAAATACTGAAGACCTTCTCCAGCAGCTTGCTTCTACTTCCTCATCCTCACATTCATTAGAACATTTACAGCCCTGCTTCCACACAATCACACAGCTTTCCTGATACCTGATGTGAATTTGGAAACTTCTCCCAAACCACCCTTCAAACACGTCTACTACATCCAGACCATAGTTCTCTTAAGTTCCCCTTAACCTGGAGGCTTTTGAAATGTTCTTTCCATTCTTCATTCCCAAGTCACCCTCTACCTCTATATCCACCATTTTCCCTCGAAATACAGGTACAAACTACATGTTAATTTTTAATGACCCAGTATTTACCAGCTCCTGAAATGATGAATTTCATTCTACAACTGCTTGTGTATCTCTATGCAAAATCAATAAACACAATAGGCCATTCTCTGAGATGGTTAACTCTGAAGAGGGGGTAAAATAAACACCACAAAATGGTCTGTTTTGAAAAATTTTAGCATTCAGAAGCATAAGCTGCAGTGACTTCTAAAAAAGTTGACTTTTCTAAGTGCTATTTATCAAGGTCAAAGAAACAGGATTTAAAAGAAATGCAATGATTTTTCAATACTCAGTCAACTAAGCTAAAAATCTGTATTAAAGACATTAAAATGAAGCTCTTCTGTAAGCCACCTTAAAAATATGAAGACGACTACCTAGGTAGCTAGAATTTAAAATACTGGTAAATTTCCATTAAATGTTACACCAAGGTGATAAAGGTATTCCCCAAGATGGCAGGGATCTGTCTCCTCCCTTACCTTCTGCTTACATGGATTGTTATCAGTGACAGAACTCCACTCACATCTGACATCTCACTCTACCTCAAGCCCAAACTGGAAAGTTAGGTGTACCAAAAAAGAATTTTTTTTTCTTCTTTTCCTCCCTCCTTCATGCTGAGAAACAGTCGGAAAGTCCCCTTTACAGAGTTATGGGAGAAGTCAACCATATAGTTGGTGCTTTCTGTTCATGGGTTTTCACTGAATAATTCACTTTTGGTGGAGGGATGAGACCCTTTTGGATCACAAGTTGCAACAGAGGTAACAAGAGCAAATATTTATAAAGTTTTCTCACCCCAAATCCGCTCATTCCTACCTTGTGCTTGTCATCTCTAATGCAGGAAGGAGTCACCAAAGACAATAAAAAAAACACCAAGGAAACAGAATTCTGGCATCAAATCCTGGTGAGTTACTCATCATCATTGTAACCTTTAACAAGCCATCTAACCACTCTACATATATTCCCTCATCTGTAAGGGGCAAATGTCAACACTAGCTGCAAAGAATACACGTTAGAGACCAGGCATGCAGGCATCCTCTGAGTATTTAGACTCTTCTTACCTATTGTTCAGTATCATGACTACCTGCTGACAGTCTTGAAAAAGGAGAGCCCTCTTAGATGGTCTAACTCATGAGATTATAAGAGTCTCCTATGGATGGGAGAAAATTGATTCTGAAAGTAGACTGGGTTTTAAAGACAAACCAGTATATTTCATCCAACAAAATTCAGCTACAGCCAGCTTTATTCTGAACAGAGCTGTATATTTCCATTTGTTTTTGGTAATAGTCCCCAACAACCTTGCTAACCAGGACTGTTTTTATTTTTATGACATTCAAAAGATTGTGATGGAAGTTCTGTCAATTTTTTGTAAGATTTTTGTTTAAAATAAATTTACCAAGAACATCTGCATGCTTGTCCTCCTCGTTGATCAAATTATGAAAGCACCTGACGTGTACAAACTCCTATTTTATACAAACTGCTGACCCAGCACAGCACTTCCCATCACTGCTTTCTAAAACAGGAAATTTCAAGAGACTGAGTGGCCAAAAGAAATTAAGATGATCTAGCCTCTCAAAAACCTGAGTCATTTAAAGTAGAAAAACAAAATCACGTCTGAAAGGATAATGCATGACTCAGACAACCAAGCATTTAATTGGAATCAACTACTCTGCTAAAGATCTACTTAATGGACTTAGGTAAGACTTTTTATTTCTGTGAAATTGGATCTTTGGTTCAAAATTTAATCTCCTGCCAAGGACTCTGCACTATATAGTTGACGTAACACTGAGGTAAGCTCTTAACATTTCATTGCCAGGAATATAAAGAAAATTGATCAGATTATTTGCCAAATAATGTTTCTTCAGCCAGGCTAAGTTCTCCCCTAAGTGGGCTGTCAAAGACAGAAAGAAAAGGCAGACACTATTATAGTTGTATTTTCTAGGTTAATCTTCCAGGTCTCAAATTTAGCCATGAAAAATCAGTACATTAAAAATTGATTTATTGTCAGATCTTTTGGCAAGTCAAAATATTGACTGAAATGATAGAATGGCATGATATTCCTTCCAGAACACTATCACTATCACCCATTAGTAACCACAGAAAATTATACTTTTACAGAATATAAAATAGCTAGTAAATAGCCTGTCTTCCTTCACTCTTGTGGAGCTTTTCAGAATTTTTCTGAAAGGAGAGTACACACTGCCCTCCCTGAAACTTCTGGTACTCCTACAACCCTAAGATAGCAAAGGGCTGACATTGTAGGCCTTGCTTATTCTTTCCAGACAATGGTGCTATAAATTAACAAACTATACAATAAATCAATTTTTAATGTACTGATTAAAAATTTTGTTTATATGTACACTATTTCTATCAAACCCTTCCTGTTATAGATGGAGGAAATTAAGAAAATATGAAAACACTAAGAGAGGAGAGCAAGTTTATTCAATAAGTCTTTACTGAGCCCTTAACTATGTGCTAGGCACTGTTTTAGGTGTTGGGAATACATTCCATTGATTAAAAACATACAAATCCCTGTTTTTATGTGCTTACACTCTAGACGAAGTATCCAAGACAATAAACATAATAAATAAGTAAATTACAGAGTAAGTTAGAAAGTAAAAGTACTACCCAACCGCACCCCCCCCCAAAAAAAGAATAGTTGTGAAAATGAAAACCAGTCTTATATGGAAATTTTCCAAAACCATAAAATAAAAAATAATAATAATAATAAGCTTTCTCTTTGGAAAGTCTATGGCTCTTAACATGTTCATGCGATTTTTAAAAAAGAAATTAAAGGGATTACGAAAGTGGACTTGAAAACTAAGGGTAACTTTCATGAAATAGGAGCTCAGTACAGAGTTCTTGAAGCAGCAGAGTCTATTCTTACTGCAGTAGTAGTAGAAACTTCCATAGTTCTAGCAAATTCTAGATTGGACACACTGCCAATCACAGCAGATCTGGAGTTAAGTCTGCTGAAAAAAGATTGCAGGGACAGAAAAGGGGAGAATTCAAGCAGCTTTTCAGGATTTGTTTTGCTTTATTTCTATTTCCTTTTTAAAATGCAACACCCTAACTTTTTGTTAATTTCTTAAAGAAAAAGGGTACATTCATAAAAAGGAAAATTGAAGAATGGGAATGCCCACGTGTCCAACTCCACCTCCCCTCCACACTGGACAAGATACATGTGTTTAGCACATTTTGGTAGACTAGGTCTTTGAACACCATCATCAGAGGTTGTTGACTCTAACCTACCAGGTAGATATTTCTTCTCTTTGACTTAAATTCAAATTCCGTTTCAACAGAGCAATCCAAAATAATGTCTTGTTTTAACCTATGGGGAATTGGATTCTCCAAGTATAAAAATGCATAATCAATGGTGATGTCGTCTTTGACCTGAAAGTCCTATTTTCGACAAAATGGGACAGAGACAGCGCGTCCAGGTTGCACACCAGGTAAGAGGAGTGTCCACCCCACAGGACACTGCAAATGGATGACTATGGGAGCAGCCCTTTCTAGAAGTAATGATGTCACTAAGTTGTGATCATTCTCCAGAAACCCCAATAGCACTGGATTAAAAACATCTGGAAGTTGTTCAGATGACATAAATTTGTTTCCTGCTGTAAAGGCTCCAATGATGCCTCTCTGTAGCATGTGTCACCATGTTTTTTCTCTGAAATCTCCCCCTTTCAAGTGAGGATGCGTACATAAAGTGCAAGTAAGATGCATTCCCTTGCCCATGCTTCCAGGCTCTCATTTTGATAAGCCAGTATTACCAAGTCTACCAGTTAAACCACCGGACAGCTAGCTCATCTGCAGATGTTTTTGGTGTTAGCCAATGAATCCATCTGGCAAAGAGAGTGTCTGAAGACAGATGCAGTCTTGGCAAGAAAACACAAAGTACCATAGACAAGACAGGGATGTGAATGACACGAGCAGTAAAAGGGAGTCTGAGTCACAGAAGAAGACATCTTTGGAACTCAACTCTTAAAAAACAAATTCAGGAGCTGTAACTAAAATGAACAAAGCCTGCAGATTTCCGAGCACAGTCAATCTTCGGTGAGAGTAGATTCAGTTTTTCCTGGATTGGGATAGAAAAGAGAATAAAGAGATTAAGGAGTTAGATATGATGCGTTCATATCACCTATGTCACTCAAAAAGCCATCTAACAGAACAGAGCCAATCACTTTCTGATAGAGCTTTGCAAAATTGTTTTTGACATTTGATAAATATACAGTCAGAATAGATCCTGGATTAGGCAATGTTACCGCCATCTTCAGAGCAGGATTTTTTAAATTAACTTTTCTCAATTGACATGCTAATGAGGACTGTGACTCTTCAAGAGTCAACACAACATATCACATATTTGGGGAGGTCATAGATTTACCTCCTTGCAAACCAAGACAAGCAGGATGATGCATCGATGCAACATCGGGAAATGTTGCCTTTTCATTCTAGTTGGAGAGCAAGGAATAGTCTAAAGTCATATTCAGCTTATATTACAAGAGCTCAGTTTTTATGAGAGTAACAGCTGTACACCAATATAATAAATTGACCATTACAACTGTGTTCCGTTATATTTTCTTTGTAATGTGCCAGAATCATGAGTAAAATCTAATGGGTATATATTAATGATAAAAATTAACTATTTTCCATCCATTATAAGCCATCACAAAATCAGTGAGCAGTCACTGGGCAGGCCCTTTGCATTTTTTCTCATCTTCCAGCAAAGCTAAGGACTGGGTTTCAGAATTTGTCCTTCAAGAAAACATTACATATGAAGCTAAACCATGCCTGAAACTTAACAGAGTATATTAAAATATATATATAATGCCATGGGTCGTCCTTAATCAAAAGTTACACAGAATTATTAGACACGTACTAGTTAAATTCCTGAATTTCTTTTTGGCTTCTGCCCTTTCTTCAGCATCAAAGTACCAAACAGTCATAGCATATCTGTGAAAAAAATAAGCAGATATTTAAAAAGAGGTTTAAAAAATCCCCAAGTTAAAAACAACAACTATAAATCTCACATCAGAGCTAATATTTAAAAGCCAACAATTAAATTTTCCCTATTATTAAAATTATGTCCAATTTTAATTTTTTTAATTTAATAAAAATTCTGTTTTCAATCCTACTTAAATGTAATAAAACATGTAAGGAATTCCAAGTATGCAGCAAGCATTTTCCTTGGCAATAGAAGCTGAAAGGACGACATGCGTCCAGCTCCTTCCTTAAGGAACTGAAGATCTAGCAGGGTAGATGGGCGATTTAACAAAGTAACAGGTCAATTTTATCTGCACGGAAAAGCCTAGAAAGAAGTCATTCTACTAAACACAGGAGACCCAAATTGGTGGGGAGAGCAGAGAGGAGTGGGCATTTAGTGAAGTTTCAAAGAATAACTTCCTGAAATGACTGGCACTAAAAACTCTTTTGTTTTGGACACCTTGACAAACATGCATTTGTAAAGCTTGAGAATTTCCAGCTGTATACTTTGTCCCCATTAATTTGTTTTACCTCATCCAGGAGACAGACAGGAGTCATTTTCAAAAAGTTTTGTTTTATAATTATGATAGCTACTGGCATATTTATAGTACTTAGTATTCTTGAATGGCTTCCCATCATTTCCTAATGTTTTCCCTATGACTCTGGCTATCGAGGGACTAGGGAATAATCAGGGAATCAAGTGACAGGGTTCAATTATTGTACCCAAAAGCCACAAACAGACTTTGATGGTAGAATAAGTTACAGACTTACTTAGGGCAAATTCCAACTGGCATTTAATATCTAACTCTGCTTGGAGTTCAGATATATGACTTGGAGAGGACAGGCACAGGACATTTAGAAGGCTCATGCACTTTACACATGAGATCTTAATTTAGGCTTGTTAAGATTTAATCATTATCTTTCTACCCAAGTTCTCTCCCCCCACCACTGGTTATTGCTGAGAAAAGTTCTCAGCACTCCACTACTGCCTGACTTACAGCCTTGACCATAAAACAAAGGAAATGAGAGGCAGACTCTGAAATTAAGATTATATCAGGAGAATTATATGCAAATAATTCTAAAGTGTTCAGTTACTCTGAAAATCTTCCCATGCATGAGCTAAAGAAATGATTTTTTTAAATTCCTGTTGTTGGGACATATGAGTAGAGTGAGCCCAAACTAATTTTAATCTTCAGGAAAAGATAGAAAGGAGAAGTTAGAACAAATTCCTCTTTCTTTTCTCAAGTATCTTTCTCTGTTTGCAACTGACAACTCAGAAACTCACCCAAGGTTAACTAGGCAGTATTTCTGATATGTGACAGTAAACATACACTAGGGTGTGCCAACATTGTGTTTTTTAAAGGAGGAAAGAAAGGAGAGAAGAGAAAAACACTAGGAAATCTGGAATCCAATATGCTCATCTAATGGACAATAATTTGTTAGTAGTTCAAACTGACATTAGGTTTTATAATCTACAGAATGCATGTTTTCCCCTTTAATTTTTATCAACTCCAAATAGTCTTATCAGTTTTAGGAAATGGTTAGGCACAGGATGAGAGTTTAGTGAATTCTCTGGAAGGTGAAATTGAAGAATTGTGGCACCATTACCTGGTGGCATAGGACGGCTGCACTTCATGTGGGTTCCTGCGATCTGACCAGAAGAACAAGAGTCTGTCAAAAATGGGTTCTACGTCTGCTATGAATGATTTCCCTTCTGGAAATATCCGCAGGACTCCACCATGTAGCTGAGGGTCACAAAGAAGGTAAGTTATTTCCTAGTTTCACACATAATTAGCAATAACATTTCAGCTTCATTAAGAAACACAGCCTTCTGGGCCCTCCCTGGTGGCGCAACGGGTTAGGACTCAGCACTGCAAGCTAGCTACAGCCGCTTCAGTGGGAATTCAATCCAGCCCTGGAGGTGGTCCACATGGCGCAGCAGACCTATCTTGTCTAGCCCACTGCTCCCCTAAGCCGTGTATTTTGCTAGTCTGCCTGTCTGCTCTCCACTGTCTTTGGTGAATCCTGTCAGCCCCTAAACCTCTGGCCTGTACCCCAGTTCTGTATAAATAAATAAATCTTTAAAGAAAAAAGAAACACAGCCATCTGACAACCTTCATTTCAAGTAGGTGTGGCTTCACCCTTATACTTTATAACAAACTTTATTCAGACTTAGCTAGTAGCATCTCCTTACACACCTTATACCAAATGCAGTCTTGCAACCACACAATCAGGAAGCCCATGGACACATGATGGGTTACTATTAGGTCAAGTCACACAGAATTACCAATATTCAACTGGTTATCACCTACTAAAAACCCCTGCAATTTCATACGATTCAATATAATATTAACAGTTTACTGGGCTAATCATTACACATACTTCCCCTTCAAGTATAATGCATGTTTTCTTTCTGAACTCCTGTAGCTCCTATGTGAACATGCATGTTATAAGTAATACTCTTTTTTTCTGAATTCTCAGACCACCATATCTGTGCAATTTTTTATTAGACATATCACTCTCTTCCCCAAGCTGTTATCTCTTTGACATGTGCACCTAAGGTACCTCACTAGAGTAATCAGTTCAGATAGAACTTGGGCCTCAAACAGCCATGCTTTGCCAGAGCACAATGTTGGCACCAGCAGGCACTCGAATATTTGTTGAATGATTTTACATTCTGCAATTTCAAATCATTAACTTGCCAGCTCCCTTGCCTTGAACACCACCTTTCAAGATTTTAAAGGACTAAGGGATGTATTCCAAACAGGGAGAATATACAAGTCTTGTCAGTAATGCACTAGTTTTACGAGGTTTAGTTTTTCTTGAGTTACAATGTCAAGCATCTGCTCTAAAGAACCGGAAGTGGAGAGTCAAAAGCCAAATAAGCTTAAAAAGTTCTCTGACTTAAAAAAAAAAAGTTCTCAAGTTCCTCAATCATCTTTAACTTTCAGAAAGGATACAATATTTCAGTCACATGGAACCAGATTTCATATCTCTAACTATATATTCAGCAATACAAAAATAAGCTACAATATCTTTAGCACTCACAACCATAGTAAACCACAGCCAAGAGTCCATCAACATGGCCCTTCTGGTGGCGCAGCGGGTTAAAGCGCAGCACTAAGAAGCTTAAAGCCACTTCCGCATGGGTTCAATTCCCACCTGCCCCGGAGGTGATCCACATGGCGAGGCAGACCTCTCCTGACCCGCCCGCTGCTCCCCTCAGCAGTGTACTTTGTCAATCTGCCTGTTCTGCTCCCCACTCTGTCTCTGGTGAAGCCTCTCGCCGCCCCTGAGCCTCTGGCCTGTACCCCAGTTCTGTATGCACAAAATAAATAAATCTTTAAAAAAAAAAGAGTCCATCAACATGACATCACCCTGGAAGAGAGGACTGTGTGGAGAGGCTTCCTTAGGAGGGGCTTTATATTCTATAGTGCTGATTTTGTGAAATCCTCTCAATATTGCTGCTAGAAGGGGAAAGTTTACATCTTACCTTACATTGACAGTGATTATCAGCCCTGGATTAGATTAAGAAATTAACCTCTAATCCTATAACAAAGTAACTTCACTTTATCAACCACCATTCCTAATAATTAATTCATTATTTTCATCTCATTAACTTCAGTACTAATATGGGATGAGGGGGAGAGAAGAGGAAGTAGGAGTAAAATAGAAAAGGTTCATTTGTGGAAATGATGAACTCCAAATTCTCCTCTAAATCATCTAAATTCTTTACCTCTAGCTTCTAACTACACACTCCAAAGTACCTTGGCATCCCAGTTCTTGTTCAGATAGTAGATACAGGTGATACAGCGGCCGTCACCGTTGGGGTTGTCTACATGTCGAACATAACCCGTCCCATTTCCTGGGTAGCAAGCCACCATTGCCTGCAAAGAAATCCAATGGAAGTTGGTTAACAAAGCTGTGACAATCTTCTCCCATGGGTGAACAGCTGAGTAACACAGTTTGCTTGGGTGTTATGTGACATTTATTGGTGACTACTGGCTTCTTAATTGCATGCATCAATTTAAATTCTTCAGCATTAAAGTTTAACAGCCAAGTCATACCTCATGACTGAATCTAGTGGAGGGGGTTCATCAACAGTCCCACAGTTATAGAACAGAGTCACCCATCAACATCATCACTAGGATGCCTCCCCTTTTTAATCTCCCTCTTGAAAAAGCAGACCTGTATTCTCACTCTAGACCCACAAAATCTAAATTGGAATGAATTTCAAATATTATGCTTATTTAACAAAGACATCTTAACCATACTGCATGTAGAACAATAATAGTGTTGCACAGTACCTTGACCTTACTGTGCCCTTAAAACTCTAATCACCATCTCTCTCAAACTTTATATCCCCAGGCAGCTAGTGAACCCCGCATTCTGCCATTAAACATCTAACTATCAATGCTGTGAGCTTGAGCATCCTTCAGAAGGTGGGATTGTAAAGCTACAATCAAGGTTTAACAAATGATGGTACCACCCAGCAAAGGCTGGCTTAGGGAAAGGTAATTGGTAGCAGCCAGAAAGGATGGGCCTAGCTGGGAAAGAAGAGAAAAATGAAGTCACTATAATGACTAGGGAATTACTCGTCCCTAGAAGCAGCTATTAGGATTATAAGAGCCACCACTGAGCCAATAATGAAAGTCACTTAAGCCACAAACAATTATAAGCTGGATTCCCTACCACCTTAGCCTCTCCCTACTGCAAAGCCCTGAAAAGAAAAAGTATTCCATCAGAGCTACATAATCATATATTCTTAAGCAGCTCAACTCCAAAGAAATGGTCAGTGGTCTGAATGTCTGCCATCTAGTTGACTCTGCAGTGAATTGTGTGATCTCGGCCTCCATGCTTTGCTATAAAAAAGGGACTTCGGATGCATGGCCTCTGATGGCCCAAGATGATGTAAGACTCAGTCTAGGATATCAATGCCAGGGAAAAAAGTAAGAGTTCTAGCTCAGAGTCAACTGAGATTCAAATATTGAAAAAACAACTATAACTCGCTAAAGTAAATCCTAAACAAATTGCTGGCTCTATAAAACATACCCATGAAGAGCTAACACACTCCAGGGGAAAAAACGCTTGTGTAAGCAACATATCCATTGCTTAAGAGAAAATTTTTCTGGCTAAAGTGGATGGTCACCTAGTCTTCCGGTTACTGAGGTCACAGCACATGAAAGGAGATCATTGTGGGCCCCAGGGGCCTGTCAGAACAACTCTGGTCAATTTTATCAGTTTTTATCAGTGTTTTTCTGGACTAGAGCCATAGGAGGTGGGCCCTGCGTGGGCATATTCCCCTCTATGTACTGGTCTTCAACACAGTCTAACACCAGGAGATTTAGGAGACACTGAGAAGCAATGCTTACTTCCATAACCAGTAACTCATTTCTGTGCCAATTTGAGCACGGGGCAGAAACAAACCCCGGAAACTGATAGGTTCAACTGAGTTGCCATCTAAACCTCATCAAGCCCAGGAAGGGATTAAGAGTGTATAAAGGAGCAGGATGCTTCAGAACAATAAAAACAGGGTCAGGAGTACTTCAATTACCATGTGGTTATCATGCCAAGGAATCACACTGACACTGAGGAGGAGGATGTCTTATTTATTGTAGACTCGTTACTTGCCAAAACTTCCTGTCTGGATTAACATTTGAAGTTGATAAAGCTTCATGACATGTTAGGGTGACCTACAACAACACATACAACATAGCCCTACAGTTCTAGTCTCTAGTGTGCAGATAAATCCACATCTTAATTCCTCAGCTTTTTTTGCTATCCCGTTCTCTGACCCTCTGTTGGACTCCCCAAACCCGTGTCTCCACGTCCCTAGAGAACTCTCCATAGCTCCAGAGCAGAAGGAAATGAGCAGAGGAGCAAGCCCCTCCCACGGCCCCACGCTGGCTCTAGACCAGAGATGGCTCTGGACACCTAGGAGGCCCGCTCAGGCAGGAAACGTGCATGTAGTCTTTGGAGATATAAACAACTTTATATATATACAAATGTAACAGCCAAATCCAAGTACCATGGTGAAAAAAAGGCAAGTATGGTTCTGTTACTGGTGAGCTGATTTCCTAAAAAAATAGTGCCTCAAGCCCTCCCTGGTGGCGTAGCAAGTTGAAGCACAGCACTAGGAAGCTAAAGCCACTTCAGCATGAGTTCGATCCCTGCCTGCACCCACATGGTGCAACAGACCTCTCCTGACCCGCCCGCTGCTCCCCTCGGCAGTGTACTTCATCAGTTGGCCTGTTTTGCTCCCCACTGTGTCTCTGGTGAAGCCTCTCACTGCCCCTGCGCTTCTGACCTGTACCCCAGTTCTAGATGAATAAATAAATCTTTAAAAAAAAAAAACTGTCTCATCAACCCCAAAAGTAAAATTGAAAGATGAAAAGTCCATTCCAGTGCCTCAACAGACCGCATTTGGCTCAGCTGGAGTGTGTATAAACTATTCCCAGAAACTGGCTCAGTGACCTCCACTGGCTACTCAGCAATGACGACCACTTTGACCCTTTTAGACGCAAGCAGGGAAGGGGACACCTCTTCCCCATCAGGCTCCAGTTAGGCTCACAACTTCTCAAATAATAATCAGCAATAGTTTTTGTTTTTAGGAATGTATTTAACATAGCTCATAACTTCGAAGTCAGATTCACTAATACAATGTGATCTTGCAAGTTATAATAAAGTGGCATTTTATGCATCAGGCAATACTTGAAGGTCACTGTCGAGGTTCCCTAAGAAGTCACACTGCTCCGCAGTAGCCCCAGGCCTATATGTGGGCACCTCCCCATTGCTCTTCACCAGTTTTAACAGCAAACAGGACATTAATCAAGGCTAACTTTATTTGCAACACTTGCAATACAATTAAATCCATTTTTTTAATTTGTCAAAAATAACCTCAAAGCTGTTTGGCTAAGTGACCATTTAGAGTTTTGGTCCACTGCTAACTGCTAGTCTCCACTAACTGCTAACAGAAATACCAGCCATCTTTGTAAGGACTTGTTTTGAATTATAATTGGTCTTGAGCAGACCATATTTTGAGTGAAATGCAATGCAAGTATCGTACTATGCTCACCACACAACAGCTCTGCCATCCTCTGCAATTCAGTGATATAAAATGTTCGGCTTTAGAGAAGAGGGCAGTTAACTTATAGTAATTGTAAACCTTGCTGAATATTTTCTATTCAACATTTTAATCAGGTCCACAAAAAAAAAAAAAAAACACCACATATCAGGCAATATTTGAAGGTCACTGTCCGAGGTCCCCTAAGAAGTCACCCTGCTCTGCAGCAGCCCCAGGGCTGTTCGCAGGCACCTCCCCATTGCTTTCCACCAGGCATGGAGCTTCTTGCCCTCACTGTCCACATGACTCTTGACTCTTCCATGCTCCTGCCCGGTCGCTCCCATGTCAACTTGAGACACAACAAAGACACCCAGGACCCTCCCTCTGGCCACCACAAGGCACTAAGTACATGGAGAATAAGATGCATAAAGCCTAAACAGAAATACACAAGACCATGTACTTTATGTAGCTTAAAAATGAAAAATGTCAAGCAACTCATCAGAGAATATTAATAGCTGAAGTTTTCTGGCCAGAAATAGGTCTGAGTTATACGCAGGTGACGACAGTCTGGGTGACAAACCTGTCCATGTTCTAGTCAGCTGTGGGTGGAGGAGGTTCTACTCCAGGGTCATTTTTCTAGGCAGTCTGTGTTCAACATGTATTGGAGTCCACACAGAGCATGGGCAGCGGCTGGACAGCCCTGTACTTGAACGCCTTCTGTCCCCTATACAAAGCCACAGCTGAAGAAAAGGCCTCAGCTGCTAATTCATCTGGGTAGGAGGTTGTTAGTAACTGGAACAAAGGCAAAAGCAGCAATTCCAAAATTGAAGCTTTTGAATTTAGAAAGAAAAACAAAAATAATAATTAAAAAAATATATCTCTGGCCCTCCTTGATGGTGCAACAGGTTAGGACACAGCAATGCAAGCTAGTTGTAGCTGCTTCAGTGCTAGTTCGATCCCCAGCCCGGAGATGACCCCATTGCAAGGCAGACCTCTCCTGACCCGCCCACTGCTCCCCTCAGCAGTGTACTTGTCTGTTCTGCCTGTTCTGCTCCCCACTCTGGTGAAGCCTCTGACTGCCTCTGCACCTCTGGCTTGTACCCCAGTTCTGTATGTATAAATAAATAAATCTTAAAACAAATAAGAAAACCTCTAAGTATGCACACTGCTATCTGCAGGCACAGTATGAAAAGCTGTTGTGGGAGACACTGGAGGGGCTCAGAGCTGTGCAAGTTTTGCTTTTTAAAAGTAATCTAAAGACCCATTAAGCCAAAATGTCACTTTCACTTATTTTCCATTTGGTTTTGACAAGGGCAGAAGTCTTAAAATCTTTTGCAAGAAAAGGCAAGTACCATGCAGAAGAGCAATGGACTGCCACCTGGAATGACTGCCTTAGCCTGTCCTCACCTTCCTTGTTAAGGGGTATGAGGTTTACACAGACACCTAGTGGGACCACTTACTACCACTTAAATTCCTACAATCCAGTGTCCACAAGCCTTCTTTATAAGATGACAGCAATTATGTAAAGCTTTTCCCAAGAGTTTCAAGAAACTGTGAGCAAAGTTCACATCACTGCCACTTCTATTCTTTACATGAAATTGAGCAGAAAAGTTCTTGATATGACAAAAAACTCATAAGCAGGAAAAAGTGCTGTAAGCTTGTTATATATTCATTTTAGTTTGACTTAGATTGACATAAAGAAATCAGGTGCAGATGACAGAAGCATTTCAGAGGAAAAAGTAGAAACTTGATGCAAACTGTCACTAGTTATCTTGGCATCTTTCTTATCTGTCTTGGTGGTTAAGAGTAAGCCTAGTTACTTCC